GGTCCAGCCGTTTATAAGATTACCCGGAACAAACAGACAGACAAAAAAATTAAAGTGGTGTTCAGACAGGTATCGTGCAAATAACCGTGTGAGCATGAAAAAAACCTATTATTTTTACATTACAAACAGACACTTCAATTTCATTTATTTATATGTCTATATGAACGCGAAAGAAGGTTAATTAGGCGAAATAAATTGTGTGGAAGGAATATAGCTAGTCTGGGAAGGGAAACAGGACTGAGAGAAGAGAAGTCGGTTGCGTATCTGTGATTGGAAAGATTACCAGGATAGGGAGATCAACTGTTCATTAGGCGGGTCTACACAGAGCGACCACCCTCTTGAAGGCAACTCAACGAACGAACAAATGGCTCGGGCTTGTCGAGCGGCTCGTGATGATACCGAGGCTGCCGCGCAAGCTGTGCGGACACGCTTATTGACTACACTTTAAAGCTTCTTTTCTTCTTATCTTCTTAATAATAGTTTAAAAAAAAACTTTTTGTAAATTATTTTTAAAAAAGTTCAAAAAAGTTGTTGTTAAAAAAGGGTCATAAAAAGTTTAAAAATTCTCGTTCTATGACATATGATTATGGATATATGTTAATCAACGCCATTAAGTATTAGGTATTCCTGAATTATCTGATGTCATAACATCTGCACTGGCCGTTTTAACAGACTGACACTATCCTGTAATCACGGTGTATTATATACCTATATATAATACCGATTACGTACCGATTACGATGTTCGTATATTACATAGTACCTCAAAAAGTTAACCCTGTTGCCCTTGTCTCATATTTACATATGTTTGAGATAGATTGTGAGGATCGAGAATTGTTACAAAGTTGTTCTGATACAATATTGTCACTTCTGATGTAAATTTTAAATGTGAAATAGATCTGATAAATATATAAGCAATACAACTTACCTAACTAGGTACAATACTACTTACCCAATATCAAATACAGGCTGATAAAATAATGTCAAATAATACGATTCAATTTGTACACTAGAAAAGAATTACGAAATGTTATGAGACGTATTCCGATAAGATAAAATTTTCAAGAAATTGTTATGCTATTCTACAAATCCAATAGGATTTAACGAATTTCCGCTACACGCAACATCTTCATAAAATTGAGATATTTTCTGTATACAATATAAACATAACACAGAAGCATAAACACGATTTTTTTGCTTGCTTAATCCTATTTCCATACATTGCCGGTTAACTGATTATAATGTTGATTTGTACAGGCGGGTGAGCACTTCAAGCGTTGGAGTTGGAGCGAAATGTGAAGCGACATGTGCTCAGATTTAGAATGGTTCAAAGCCTTCAATCAGATTATGTTTTATGCTTAATTTTCGTTAACTTAACAATAAAACATAATTTTGCAAAAAAAAAACACAAAAATTAGAATTTAAATTTTTACTGCACTTTTAATTGTTACTTAATTTGTCCGTTAATGTAGCAAAACATTATATTGCTAAAAGCGTAGTTTTCAGACTTAGTCACAATAATATTATCACCTTATCAAATACTCATGTTTATTTTGATAAAAAATAGAGTAAAGTATGATGTATATAAAAATAGTATTATATATAACGTTATTTTATGTACACAGGTATATTTATTTACGTTACGTTACGACCATTGTTCTGCGGGCATGCCGTGTCCCTGTGTGTGTTGGATGTTATAGAATAACTTTCGTAGATAGTTATAAAAGTTAGCAGAGTAGCATGTTTTAACAACTTAACAGGGTAACTACAACATCAGCGAACAGGTGACAGGTGCTATCCTTCCCACGCAAGCGGTAAAGTTAACCCACAGTAAGATTTTATGATGTACTCCCACGTTAATGGCATTAAATTATGCATTCGTCGACTTTTAACGATCTTTGTTAAGACTCAAATTATGGTTTGATAATAAGATTCTATCATTTGCTTTTAAACTATAATGCAGATAATTTGGTCTCCTTCTTTTATTTCTACTCTCTCGATTTTATTGAAAAGGTTTATCGATATTGTTTACAAACTAAAAAACGAAGAAGTTTAAGGTAAATAACAAAACACGTTTGTTTTCAAAGCAATCAGCAAATATAACATGAACTTTATAATGTATAGTACTTAATTCAAAACCTTTTGTGCGTAAATAATTATCGATATAATAACCTCCGAGAAGTAGCGTCAGGATTCTGAATTTCAAAGACTTTCACTTGACATTTTTGCCCTATTTAGTTAGTAATTGAGTTTTGCAGCATTTCAATAACCAATTAAATAAAGTTCGACATCCTAAGAGGACAATCGGAGAGAACTTTGGCTATACATTATTGTGATAATACATTATTCCAAACTTACTTTTCAAAGCAAACATTCATAATAGCTGAGAGAAGCGTTTTATTTGAAGCAAGCAATGTAGACTGAAACAAAAGTAGAATTAAAACAAATAACTTAAAGCCACTTAAAATATAAACAGATTGGAATTGTTTTTGGTAGGAATAAAAAAAAACATTTAAAGTATTTTCTCATTTTTAAAATGCCTTCTGCATTTAACACTATTTGATTTGATTTGATTGACTAAATCCAAAATAATATTTACGTAATAGCTTTCTTTATCCGTGTAGTGACGGATTAAGAATACGGAGTGTCAGCACTCCTATTCATAATAACGACTAACAGAGCAAAATACGCAGGACAACAGCACTGCAGAGAGAAGGAAAACTTAACACAAAAATATAGTAGGCTAAAACCTCCTTTCTAAGGAGAGGTCTCTATTTAGCAGTGGACTATTAAAGACTGTCGATGTGATAATGATAATGAATAGCTTTTCAAATATTACTGGGAAAATAGTTAAGGTTTATTCCTCCGATATTGATTAGGTAACGAATTTTTATACAGCGTCAATTTAAAATTCAAAAGATGCAGGACACCTTTGCCGAGGTAGTTGTACTTAATTAAATAAGAAAAATATATTTTAGATACCTTTTTAATGATTATAATGCTATGTTATTTCTGTTAAGGAATTAAGAGGCTTTTTATTAATATCTGTTTATGTTTCTTACATGTAAGTATGCTTTTACTTATCCAACAACCGAGTTGTTAGATGAGTAAAAACATAATCACGTCATTATTTCGTAAATTTCGCTTTTCATGAATCGTATAATGTACATCACGTGTTATATCCAACACGCCTAATATTTTTAAGTATAAAAATAAATAAAATACCCCAATACCAACTTGACTTCATACATTGTTTGTGAACGATATTTTATAAGGGTTGAAAGTTTATGTATACTTGATCTAATGGGCCTATGTCCAGCAGTGGACTATTAAAGGCTGGTGTTGATGATGATGTAAACCTGATCTTGGGTATTAACTCGGGTTTATTTAAGTTTATGTTTGTGTTCACTTAAGTTTAAGCATAAAGAGTTCAAACACAAAGTAAAAGTAAACTAATTTTATTTGGTCCATTTCCCATAGCTATGTAGTAGGGTGCGTAGGTGTCGGCAGGAACTAAGGTGTACAAGAATATATATAATATATAAAATCAACCATTGACTTAAGTAATTAGGTACGTTACAAAGAAGTCACTGTCTAAATACAAAATATTAAGGCAACGAGAGTGTCTTTTACAACTGTCGTACTTGACCCCTGCAACATGACTGTGTCCCTGCGTATGCTGACTCGTTCGAGGCTTCTCCGGACTAGGCGCGGCATCTGCGGCGGACCTGAAATAACATGGTCCGGGTCCTCCTCGGATTAGGGTGCCTGAGACCGACCGGCGGGGTGGTTTTTAGTGGAAACACAATATACTCCTGGCTCCTGTGTCTCCGAGGAGCCGGAGATCCAAAGAGATTTTCCACCCCGTCAACAAAAAATAAAACGACAGGCTATGGCCGTCACCCACGTTTATTTCCTACATAAAAAACTGAAATATATACTAAACCTAGAACCTTGAAATGTTGAGGAACACAATTATTATTAATAGAACGATGAAACATTCCTTAGTCATTACGACGTATTTACCGAAGCTCAAAGCAAACATTTTTTACATGTACTTTTTATGTGAATTCTCGCTGTGTGTATTAACAAAATTCACACGGATTTAAAGAGAAAACGTGTCTGTAAAGATTTCATTGCGAAAAATGCAAACATTTTAATTCGATATCACACTTAAACGAGGGCTCCGTGTTTCTTAAAATGTTGTTTACAGTTTTTTTATGAATGTTTTAATATTTAGTTTTAAATGATGGAAATGAATTATATTATTAATTTAAGATGATAAATATAACCAACGTTGAGGCTAATGTTGAACAAAAAGGTTAACTATATAGGTTTGAAACTACAATTGGTGGTATGAAAAAAGTCAAAGTAATATTTAATCATTACGGCCAAAGCAAATCATCTTTATTTTCTTGTCTTTTACTCAATTTTATTTGAGTTCGGTTCAATGTTTGTGTTTATTTATGGCTAGCCGCCTGCCTATCGCTAACCCTCTTTAGGAATAATAGTAAAAAAATCTTTACACATCTTACACACGGCCGTCTGATCCCAAACTAGACAGAGCCTGTACTATGATTACCAGCCTGCTGATAAATGTACTTATAAATTTCTAAATACATACATATTTTAGATAAATTACACACAGACACTGAACAAATGATCATGCTCATCACACGATATTGTGAGTTCGATTCCCGTCCAGTACAAGGGTGGGAATCAAATTCACGACCTTCAGCTTAGGAGTGAGGGTCACTAACAACTAAATCAATAGTCCCACCAACTGAATAAATTTGTATTCAGGCGGGATAAACGAAAAAATTACAATAGAGTATAGAAAACGAATAGGAGAGACCAGGCTAAGGGCCAAAGGTAAGAAATTACAATGGAGTAAAGAAAAAGGATAGGAGAGACCAGGCTAAGGGATAAAGGAAGAAATTACAATGGAGTAAAGAAAATGGATAGGAGAGACAAGGCTAAGGGATAAAGGAAGAAATTACAATGGAGGAAAGAAAACGGATAGGAGAGACAAGGCTAAGGGATAAAGGAAGAAATTACAATGGAGGAAAGAAATGGATAGGAGAGACAAGGCTAAGGGATAAAGGAAGAAATTACAATGGAGGAAAGAAATGGATAGGAGAGACAAGGCTAAGGGATAAAGGAAGAAATTACAATGGAGGAAAGAAATGGATAGGAGAGACAAGGCTAAGGGATAAAGGAAGAAATTACAATGGAGGAAAGAAATGGATAGGAGAGACCAGGCTAAGGGATAAAGGAAGAAATTACAATGGAGGAAAGAAATGGATAGGAGAGACAAGGCTAAGGGATAAAGGAAGAAATTACAATGGAGGAAAGAAATGGATAGGAGAGACAAGGCTAAGGGATAAGGAAGAAATTACAATGGAGGGAAAGAAATGGATAGGAGAGACAAGGCTAAGGGATAAAGGAAGAAATTACAATGGAGGAAAGAAATGGATAGGAGAGACAAGGCTAAGGGATAAAGGAAGAAATTACAATGGAGGAAAGAAATGGATAGGAGAGACAAGGCTAAGGGATAAAGGAAGAAATTACAATGGAGGAAAGAAATGGATAGGAGAGACAAGGCTAAGGGATAAAGGAAGAAATTACAATGGAGGAAAGAAAACGGATAGGAGAGACAAGGCTAAGGGATAAAGGAAGAAAATTACAATGGAGTGAAAGAAATGGATAGGAGAGACAAGGCTAAGGATAAAGGAAGAAATTACAATGGAGGAAAGAAATGGATAGGAGAGCAAGGCTAAGGGATAAAGGAAGAAATTACAATGGAGGAAAGAAATGGATAGGAGAGACCAGGCTAAGGGATAAAGGAAGAAATTACAATGGAGGAAAGAAATGGATAGGAGAGACAAGGCTAAGGGGATAAAGGAAGGAAATTACAATGGAGGAAAGAAAATGGATAGGAGAGACAAGGCTAAGGGATAAAGGAAGAAATTACAATGGAGGAAAGAAATGGATAGGAGAGACAAGGCTAAGGGATAAAGGAAGAAATTACAATGGAGGAAAGAAATGGATAGGAGAGGACAAGGCTAAGGGATAAAGGAAGAAATTACAATGGAGGAAAGAAATGGATAGGAGAGCCAAGGCTAAGGGATAAAGGAAGAAATTACAATGGAGGAAAGAAATGGATAGGAGAGACAAGGCTAAGGGATAAAGGAAGAAATTACAATGGAGGAAAGAAATGGATAGGAGAGACAAGGCTAAGGATAAAGGAAGAAATTACAATGGAGGAAAGAAATGGATAGGAGAGACAAGGCTAAGGGATAAAGGAAGAAATTACAATGGAGGAAAGAAATGGATAGGAGAGACAAGGCTAAGGGATAAAGGAAGAAATTACAATGGAGGAAAGAAATGGATAGGAGAGACAAGGCTAAGGGATAAAGGAAGAAATTACAATGGAGGAAAGAAATGGATAGGAGAGACAAGGCTAAGGGATAAAGGAAGAAATTACAATGGAGTAAAGAAAATGGATAGGAGAGACAAGGCTAAGGGATAAAGGAAGAAATTACAATGGAGGAAAGAAAACGGATAGGAGAGACCAGGCTAAGGGATAAAGGAAGAAATTACAATGGAGGAAAGAAATGGATAGGAGAGACAAGGCTAAGGGATAAAAGGAAGAAATTACAATGGAGGAAAGAAATGGATAGGAGAGACCAGGCTAAGGGATAAAGGAAGAAATTACAATGGAGGAAAGAGAATGGATAGTAAGAGACAAGGCTAAGGGATAAAGGAAGAAATTACAATGGAGGAAAGAAATGGATAGGAGAGACAAGGCTAAGGGATAAGGAAGGAAATTACAATGGAGTGAAAGAAAACGGATAGGAGAGACCAGGCTAAGGGATAAAGGAAGAAATTACAATGGAGGAAAGAAATGGATAGGAGAGACAAGGCTAAGGGATAAAGGAAGGAAATTACAATGGAGGAAAGAAATGGATAGGAGAGACAAAGGCTAAGGGATAAAGGAAGAAATTACAATGGAGGAAAGAAATGGATAGGAGAGACCAGGCTAAGGGATAAAGGAAGAAATTACAATGGAGGAAAGAAATGGATAGGAGAGACCAGGCTAAGGATAAAGGAAGAAATTACAATGGAGGAAAGAAATGGATAGGAGAGACAAGGCTAAGGGATAAAGGAAGAAATTACAATGGAGGAAAGAAATGGATAGGAGAGACAAGGCTAAGGGATAAAGGAAGAAATTACAATGGAGGAAAGAAATGGATAGGAGAGACCAGGCTAAGGGATAAAGGAAGAAATTACAATGGAGGAAAGAAATGGATAGGAGAGACCAGGCTAAGGGATAAAGGAAGAAATTACAATGGAGGAAAGAAATGGATAGGAGAGACCAGGCTAAGGATAAAGGAAGAAATTACAATGGAGGAAAGAAATGGATAGGAGAGACAAGGCTAAGGGATAAAGGAAGAAATTACAATGGAGAAAGAAATGGATAGGAGAGACAAGGCTAAGGGATAAAGGAAGAAATTACAATGGAGGAAAGAAATGGATAGGAGAGACAAAGCTAAGGGATAAAGGAAGAAATTACAATGGAGGAAAGAAAACGGATAGGAGAGACCAGGCTAAGGGATTGTGATAGTACTACAATCACGTAATTATAAAACTTAAATGTTATTTAAAACAAGTAATGTTAGAAAGTTATCTACACGTGCATTTAAGGTCAAGACGAACAAAAAGCAGACCCTAATAAATAAGTGAACTTTATGATCTCAAGTATTGCGAAGTGGATGGCGGCCCATTATGAACAAAAGACTTATTGCGTTCTTAAGACGAATACCATAAAAAAGGGATAGCCAAGGGTCTACGATAGCAATTACGAACGGGCACATGTGCAAGACAGCACACGAATAAGCGTGAGAAAAGCCCTTAGTTAGGAGTGATTTTGGGAAGGATAATGAGGAAGGAACAGGGCAGTTGGTCTTGAGTCGTAAGACAAGTCGGTTGATCTTAGGAGCTAGGAAGCGGAGGTCGTTCGTCAAAAGCTGAACGTGCTCGGACGCGCGTATTGCAGTTAGTTTGAGTAAGTTAAATATATAGAACGTTGAGGACAGCTAGGTGAGTCTTTATTGGTTATTATGTTTTAGGATTATTATTATTATATTATACGTATTTATATTCCGGTCTGAGTAACGTAGTATTAATTAATAATTTAGATGTAGTTTCTATGCAGTTTCCCTGCTAAATTTTACTTACGCATTTGGTATTGGTTAAGATATCTTGAATGTGATAGAATGATTAGTGACCCCTTTATAGTGCTCTACAGTGTGGTGAATCGAGGTATAACTGAGGCGAGACGACCACCTTGGTTGATCAGATCAACCAGGCCGCGGTCCTTGCTACACGGTTATCCTTCGGTGACCTGTCATTGTGGTGTATTTAGGAGGAGGTTAGTGTAGGTTCAGTGAGTGCCGTGTACTTGAGTGGAGAGTGTCTTAATGGGCTTGTCCTGGGTGGTCGGTTTGCGAGAAAGTGCTGATGCTGTTGATGAATTGATGGAGATCGAGCGGTCCGAGTCCGCCGTCGGCGCACGCGTTGTGTCCGGTAGCATAAGGGTTAATGCCACATCAGACGAGCAGTATTCACGTGTCTCACCTTGCGGCCTTGAGCATTCAGTTGTAGAAGTTGATTGACTCACTTTAAGCTTGAGTGCACAATGGATGGAAGCCTGATAGGATAAGCACAACCAATACCAATGTATTTAATTATTTCATTTAGACTTTGATTCCCTCTTATCGCGGTCTTTTGTTGTTTATTCGAACGTTAAAAGCCAGTGGGAAGATGTCCAGTCAGGGTCGAGTCTTACAGCCTGCCGCGGTTGGAGGAGCGTTAGACCTCCCCCACAGGGAGGGGAGCTGGCTACGTGTTTTATAGTTGAAAAACTGCTTTACTCAGGCTAGAGTATTTGAGGTACCATCACAGGATAAAGGAAGAAATTCCAATGAAGTAATGAAAACGGCTAAGCCTGATCTCTCCTATCCCATTTCTAAATAAAGGATAAAGGAAGTCTCGGACAAGGGAAAGGGAATGGGAAAGAAAAGAAATACATTTTTAAAACATTTTACATTAACTTCAATCGAGTATTGAATTACGAATCTTTGTAACATCAATGAATATTATTAGGAAGATCCACAAAATCTGTTACGTTTCTGTAAGATAATATTATAATTAGTTTCATCCTAATAGCATAGAATATATTTAAAATGCTTATTAAGTGAAATTTCCTACAGAACCCGTTATCTAGAGAACCCTTCAAAGCCCTTTGTTGTATACTGATGTTATGTAATTATCCTTTGAATAAAAATGGAATTTGAAAGTCTAGAATCTTTGTAACACAGAGGAAAGATTATCCAACTCCTGTGGCTCATTTTTATCCAAACATTCTACATATTACTTTCAAAAATGTAAAACTAACATGTAAATAGGGACAATTATATTAAAAGTTATCGAAATAAAATTCGCTTATTATGGACAAACGGTTCTAAAAATGAGAAATCGATATGAAGTGAATTTAAACAGTTTCTTGAATCTTACATTTTTTATTCAAGAGAAGATGATTTCAGTGCTAAAGTTTTCCTTCCTCATTTTGGTATATAAGTTAAACTCTGTCCCAAAACTACTAGCAGTAATCAATACAAACCTACCGATCAGCACGTATTAAAATAAAGTAAAATACTAATAACACAATGCACACGACGCTGTAAGTATTCCGTTGGGATCGGAGGGTAGTACCTGACTCACCTCCACAATTGGACATTACCGTTCCAATTGCTCCTTTATATTCCCACTGCGATGCGGTTTCAATATAACGCTCGAACCAATACAGATAGCTAATGGCAAATTACTAGATGTAATGTATGGATACTGTTACGGAGTAAAGATAGATCTATTGAGCGAATGTTGAGTCTGTATATTTTTGTTGTATACTAGTCTTAGGGATGCTGCGTTTAGTGAAACTTGTCTAGATTTACTAAATTGCAAACGATTTGCATTCTGTAATGAAAATAAAACATTTTGTTTGTCAGGTACCCTTAATTCAGTGGAAATCTTTATTCAGGGTATTTCTATTATTAAAAAAGTAAGAGACTTTAAAACTCTTTAGAACACTTTATAATGTTTGTAAAGTCCCTATCGTCATCATCAACAGCCTTTAATAGTCCACTGCTGGTCATGAGAAAGGAGGTTTTGGCCTACTATACCACGCTGGCCAAACGGGTTGGTATACGGTTTGTTTCTCTTTGCAGTGCTGTTGTCCTGCGTAGTTTGCTCCCTTAGTCGGCTCTGACGACACCCACGGGATGAATAGGGTTGGTGACACTCTGTATTGTTAATCCGTCACCACACGGACGTAAAGTAATATATTCCTAGTGCGGGAGCTGTCTTTAAAAAAAAATCGAATAAAGCTTTTATATTGATGAGCTGGTATTAGGCGATGGGCCTGTCGATTTAGTGGTTAGTGACCTTGACTGCTAAGCCGGAGATCGTGCATACGATTCCCGACAGCAAGCAATATTGCGTGATGAGCACGATGATTTGTTCTATGTTTAGGTGTAATTTGTCTATAGTATGTATGAATTTAAATAGATTTAAGTATGTGTATCAGCAGTCTGGTTTCCATAGTATACTCTGACTAATTTGAGACCAGACTGCCGTTTGTGAGATGTGTGAAGTTATTATTGTTATTGTCAATAGGCGGGCGTCATTTTCCATCAGACAACTTGCCTGCATATTTAATACTACATCATAAAAAAGTTAGTAAAATTACTTCTCTCTTATTGAAATAACATATTTCATAAAGTAAACATTTTACTCTTTACCCCAGCTTCAACAATTTGTTCATGAAACTCTTTGTCACTCTTTTTAGCTTCATCCAATTGATGTACGTAAAGTCAAAAAGTTATTGAGATACTTACATTTGATATTTGTTATTATTTCCATATATGATTTCTTGTGGTCTATTTTCTCATTTTTGTTTGTTTATTGAGCAAGTATTAGTCACCGTGTAAATAAGGAAATGTAGCTTCTACTTGAACGAGTGCCATTTATCGGGGCTGGTCATCTCAGGACTGCTATTACTCAAATTGGTATATAGAATAATTTTGCTCAACTCTAGCAATGTACCAAGTATTTGATAAATGAATAAATGATAAAAAAAAAGAGTAAAGAAATAAATTACGTGAATAATAAGTCAGATGCTAAATCCAAATCGTACTCATAAGAACGTTAATGTGTCTATCCTTAAAACATGAATAATCTTTATCCTTTATTGATCTCTAAGTAATTTAATTCCATACTATAAAAAGTCATACAAATAAACTATCATTCTGTAATCGAGTTTACCTACATATCGAGTTACGGCTCGAATACGGCGAATTACATGTTTTGATAGAGTTAGAGTAAATTGGTACGAAATTGAAATACACTAACATTAGATCTATAAAGTTATTATAACTATATTGCAACCCATAATTGATGCAAACCAATGGTCTGTTTACAAATCGAAGACAAAGACTAATTTATAACGACCCAGACTGGTTACTTATTTTGATATATTAATGGCTTCATATGTAAAGCATCGGCAGTGGCCAAATATATGACCTTACTATACAATTATATTTCTATTTGAATCTTTGGTAATGGTTATTATAGGATGTTTTATATTAACTCTTGATCATACACTTCATTACTGTCTATATCTATCTGTCAAAAATTACTTATAGTTACTCTCGTACTACCTCAGATTGAATAAAGATTGCCTTAGGCATTAAGTCCGTCGATGCACACATTTGTGCATAAAGTCATAGATAAAAATAAATAAATAAAGACAAAAATAATACAAATCATGTAATAAAGCCTTTACTTTTTTATGTTATACAACCGAGAAAAATGTGCAAAACGAGCACCTGATTGAAAATGACAAAGATCTCAAAAAATCTTCTAGACTAAAACACTCGTTTAAGTGTTTTCTATTATAAGTGATTTTCTAACTATTTTAGGCACTGGCGTTAATGTTCTCAAATGCAAAATATATATCAAAGCCTAGGCTAGTTTCAAACATCAACCAAAAAAACAAAACAAATATTGTAACAAAACAGTCAGGTGTTTAACCAACGTAAATATTCATAGCTTTGACATTTAAAGGTGCTACTTCTAATTCTATAATTTTCTTAGATTCGATGAAATCAATATATCTTTTCTATACATAGTTATTTTTGTCTCATCTACAAATCGATCTATGACATTTGATTGTCGTAAACACGAAGACGGTTCCACATCAATCATGTACCGGCCACCTGTCGATTCCTTGCAATGCATCTTCATCAGATACTAGACGTTTGATAATCTGTCCTTAATCTGATACAAGGCTACGTGCTATTAGAGAC